ATGAGTTCAGTGAAAAGTACTTTTTTAATTCAATAATTAATTTAAATTTTTTTTAAAAAAATTAAGAAAAACTCGGGAGCTCGTCACCTTTGGAATTTAAAATAACCTATTTGTTTATATCAGTTGGGTAATGGTCAAAAGCAACAGGCATATTGGAATTCATCACCTCGATGTGACGAGTTCCATGAAATTTTTTAAAAATATAATTGTTTATGGACTTTGGGTTTAGGGTTATAAATAGGGGTTTGGGGTTTTAGATTTTTATTGTGTATTGTTAAGAAAAATTGATAAAATTGTTTATCTTTTGAAGTTCCTGAAAATGTCTACCCGAGATGAAATGTTATGCCTTGATGTTATCCATATTTCTTCGCTCGAATTCACTCCAGAAGAAGAACGGGACTTTCGTCAACGAGGAATGACACTTAAAGATTCGCATCAACAAATTATTATATATCTACAACAATATGAGTTGTATCCAGCCGTATTTCTTCGTGGTTTTAAAGTGAACCTGACATTGATTTCGGCGCTAATTGAACGTTGGAGGCCCAAAATGCATACTTTCCATTTTCTGAATGGTGAAGCAATGATTACGTTGGAAGGTATCGCTTACTAACTCGATGTTTCGATTAATGGTGCAACACTAGTGAGGCACAACGATTACAACCGATTCCAAATTATTGAGGAATTTTTGGGAAAGTTGCCACCACCAGAGGTCTTAGACAGGTATCAGATATGGATAACTTGGTTGGAGTTTGAATTTCATGTGACTAATAACTCTACCGAGGATGGGTTCATACTTGTAGCTCGATCGTTTCTTCTCCAATTGATTAGAGGGACATTGTCACCAGATAAATCCGGGAATTTAGCGCTAACTCATTATCTTTCGATATTGAAAAATTGTACTGAGTGTCGTAACACTAATTGGGGCTTGGTTATTTTTTCATTTTTATACCAGAAACTTTGCAAGGATACAATCATTGAAATGGGTCAAAAAGTTGATGTAGCGGGTTGTCTAGTCTTGCTACAGTCTTGGGCGTGGTATCGGTTTCCGTTTTTTACACCAATTATAACAGCCTAAGTTGAATTTCTATGGTTGGAAGGTAATTTTTTTACTTCATTTTTTTAGTAAATTTATAAATTTATTTTATCTTTATTTTTTAATTTTTTATTAATTATATTATTTAGATGGCATCATATAATTACCGAGACCAAGTTGTCAGGTGCAAAAAAATGATATACAAATGAGGATCGATATTATCGGTCAATATGTGGTAAATATTATTTTAGCAAATTACTTAAATTTTATTTATTTATACTAAATTTTATAATTTAATTGATGTTTACAGTTTAGTTGGATTCCATATTGTGACGATGACATCTATCGGTTACTGCCACTGAGATTTTTTGAAGACCCAAAGTTATGGTGTGTCGTTATACCTTTGCTTCATTTTGCAATTGTTGAGATGAACTTCGTAGATAGAGTGTTGCGCCAGTTTGTGTCTCATTTAACAATGGAATTGATACACATGGGAAGCATAAAGATAATTGGTCGAGGAAGCATGTTGTATACATTCAACAAATGGAATGAACAACATTTATATGTCATTGTGTTCTTCGAGATTACAGCTGTTGACCTTGATTTCTATATTTCTCCCTACCTCCAAAATTATGAAGCAAATGAGAAACCATATTTAACAACACCGGAAGAGATGAAAAAATTGAAAGAAATAAAGGCCAAATACGCAAAGGGAAAAAAATCATCATCGACATCTTCATCTTCTACTTCTACTTCTGTCGAATATTTTACATCTCAGGCCAGTTATGGTTTTAATCCTCCATATCATGCTTCAATAGAGAGTCAGCCAAATTGGGTTGGAGGTTCATGAGATGCAATGCAAAGCGCTCAAGCAACTTCGACAAAACATGCGGGTGAATGGGATCATATTATATATGGTGTAGAAGGTACTGGTTTCGATGGCCAATTCAAGGCAATGACGGCCTCAAACACCTTAAGTACTCTATCAGTGTATTTTGAAGGTGGATCTCAAAGTGGAGGGATGTTCAATACACCTCCTGTTGAAGAAGCAAACAAATATGAAGACGAAGAAGGAGGACGACCAAGACAAAATCGACAAGTCTCACGCCATTATCATTGGACCACTCCTTGGTATCGTCAAAAATTACGAAATTGTAAGTAAATTATTTTATGGATTGTATTAGTTTGTAACAACTTTTATCATTATATCGCTTTATATTAAATTAATTTCAAAATTACTTTTTTAAATAAAATTCAACGAAACTCTTCACGTCAACGTCGCGAGTTTCAACGGTTATATTTTAAAAAAAAAACAAAAGTTATCTGTTTCCCAACGGTTAATGGAGTTTCAAAGTCTAGAGGAACTCGTCGAGTTTTTTTATTTTTTATTTTTTAAATTAATTACTGAAATTTAAAAAAATATTTTTCACCAGACATGACGAGCTCCTGAAAATATAATTTAATATTGACTCACATGGGGCCTAATTACATGAGACCATTAAAAAAATATTTTTTAGACAAACTCGTCACGTCAACAAGACGAGTTTGCCCTGCAGTGTAGTTTTTTTCATAGTTTATAAAATAAAAAAGGTGGCCTATTGGGCTAATTAACTTCGGTGCCTGGCGTAATGGGCTAAAAAACCGTTGTATGTTGGTACTAAAGTTGTTCATGGACCGGGCTGAGACGCCCCAGACATGATAACATAACCTAGACCCAACTCAACAAATGGTCCTTTAGTTATGCCCATGCCCAACCCAACTTGACAAAAGATCTTCCAAGGCCCGCCCACTTTACCCAGATTTAGGTAGGGTTTAGGTGATAAATTGCTAATATACTTTAGATATTTTTAATATAATTGGGCCAGTTCTAGAGTTTGCATATGGCTAATGTTGTATAAACATACCTCTCGGAGTGGCTAAGAATGTTTTATATTACATATAAAAATAATTATTACATTTTATATTACTATTCATAGAAGACATGAAATATTTTCAAAATAATATTATTCGGATTGGACGCTGGATCTAAAACGTGTCTATAGTTTTATCCAAATCTATTTTTCAGTTCAACTTTTTATTCAAATCTTTCTAAAATTTAGACTAATTATAAGGTTTGAAAAAGTAATTCACTCCTTAAACATATCTAATTGATACCGATAACTGCATTTTAAACGAATCATCTTAGTGATTTAAAGATTATTGTTATATTTTGAAGTCTCGACTTTGAGTACCACGTATGTAAGGGTGTATGTGCATCCTCATTGATAAAAGGGAATGTTATTATTTTTAAAGATCATGAGTTCGAGCAGTTGTATCTGCAGGATGTGTATGTATTACTTATAACTATTTTTTTTGTATAAATCTATACAATCTCTTAATCACTTTAGACTAAATAAAAAAAATAAAATTTAAATATCAAAATAATAATAAAATATAGCTTCAAGGATCAAATAACATTTAACCTAATCAAAAATTGATTGATCATTAATGAGAATGGTTAACTTAGAACAGAGATCAGCATCCATCGAACATTATATATATATCAAAAAGAAAGCTCTATTGACGATAATAATCGTAATTCAACTATAATTATATAATTTATAAACGACTGTCATCTGTTTGTTTTCCACGATCTTTATGGTAATACTTTTAACTGTAACTACAGTTCAAGTAATGGGTCCGAACTAGGATAGCTGAAGAGGGTATGTTTTATAAAAATAAGGCTTCGATTAGTGCTATTCGTCTGATCTTGTGCTTGTAGAAAAGGTTATCGACGTGAAGAGAGTGTGCCACGTTGTTCTTGTTGTTTTCAAAGAGATCTTTACAGCATATGTATCATAGCTCGAATTTATAGATATCGATCAGAAATAATCAAATAGGTAATTGAAGATTTTAGGAAGAAATAGAAGTGATGGTGGTTTTTTTTAGTGTATTTGAATGGATTCTTTTTTAAGGAGGTATTTAATGTTCACCGAAAATAGTTGAATTACGACAGTTATAGATGATTTATATCTTTTAATTTTGAATGTAAAATCATACTCAATAAATTGGTTAGTATAATTATTTTTTATGAAAAAGTATAAGAGAAATAAGTAAGGTGAAGTGGTTTCATATCTCTCTCAATCTTGATATCAAAAAATTACATAATAACTCTTAAAGTTAATATCTTATAGATTAAGAGATAAAATGATTATAATTAAGCTATTCAATTACAATAAATCATATATACATGTAATTTTTTTTATAGTTTTATAATATTATAAATATTTAAAATTATCCTTTTCAAAATTTTCTCTTTATATAAATTCTCAAAAATTGTTGAATGTTTTAGACTGAAGATCCTCAATTAAAATCATACCTACGAAATGATTGGTGCCAAAAGATGACACACGAAAAATATTTGGCGGCGTACACTAATTTTAAATGATTTTATCAATATAATCTGAATCCTTGGTATTTTTAGTTCTTTACGTTATTAAATATGAAATATTATATTTTTAAAAAAAAGTCAATGACATTGGTCCCCGCTAATCAGATTCTAGCACCACTTTGCAAACAATAGGGGACGACCACTTAACACGTGGAAAACCTCCAAAATTAACCGATTGAAATCCAAGGGCTAAAGCGGGCAGTGTGGTAATGTGGAAGAGCCATACCGATGGTGATAGGTGTAGCCACGCATGGGCGCCAACGCCACAGGCGTTTGTAACCGGAGGACGTTTCTGATTGGCGAATGAGCGGTTCAACGTTTTGAGTGTGGGACCGAGTCTGACTGGGATCCCGATTCAATGTACCTGTTTGCTTTTGTGCGTTGGGTTTTAATTATGGTGAGTGATGTGTTAGCATGCATGGACACACTGACTACTGCAAATCCCACATGTCTTTTATCTTTCAACCTCCTCAAACACGTACCCCATCATTCCCTGTCCAAATGTCAATTCTTTCTGACTCGTTGTTTCATGTTGCGTTGTACTCATTGGCTGGTTTCTTCTCCTTAAAACCACCCCCCTCATCTTCTTCTTCTTCTGTTAAGCGATATTCTTTGGTTATTTGCATTTGGCTAAGTTGTTAAACATGATCAAGACGTTGAATCCTTACTCCACCACAGCTAAAACGGCTGAAATCATGTCCAGGTACAGGCCGATAGCGCCGAAGCCTGAGGCGGCAGCGGCGAACGGCATGGATGAGAGCTCGGCTATGTCGCAAAAGATCAGACAGTCTCCTTATCTGAGGAATTTATGGCCTCAGCTTCAGGCTAGGCCTAGTAGGAGTAGAAAGAGAGGTAGAGCTGCTTTGTCACCGCCAACTCTCAAGAGAGTTAAAACCCATGTCTTTGGGCTTCCTTCACATGTAACATCCCCTTCTAAAAACCTTTCTTTGCACGGCTTTTCTCATGGCTTTCTGTCGGTTCGTGGTGGAATGGAGATTTCTTCTACACAACCGGCAAGTTTGGTTACACTTCCCCTTCTTCCATGTCCTCCCCTTAGTTTCATGGAATCTAGTGCCGGTGAGAAGGTAATTGATTTGAACACAGTAGCTGAAATTCCAGAGGAGAAGGATCTGTTGAAGCAGCTCCAAGGTACTCCTTTCTCCAGCAGCGTCATCGCGCCTCAGCCGATTCGACCAGTTGGCTCCAGTATCAGTGTCGGATGCATCAGCGAGAACCCGAAACTAAACTCGCCGATGAAAGTCCCGAAGAAACCAGATGAGGTAGAAGAAGAGGTGGAGTCAGAGGCATTGCCGGTTGTGGTATCCGACTCAAACAACAAAGTCAGACTGGCGAATTCTGCTTATAATGAAATGATTGGTCAACCAGAATGCCCATGGCTCGATTCTATGGTGGCGGGAGGCAGGAAGAGAATATGTGGGGAAGTGTTGCTTGATTTATGTGACGGCATAGTACCACTTGAATCCAAGGGGTTTTCGTGCTGGGTGAGAATCGAGTGGGGAAATGAAGGGAAACAGATGGCGATCAAAGCCTTCTGCGATGTGATGAGGTTATCATGTATGTCAAAAGACTACCTGTACGCTTGGAGGTTCCATACCAACAAGAAAAGGGAACTATCTCATTTTAGCACCAATGTATGAAAATCTAGCTTGATAGATAGTATATTATATATGTATAATATGACATGTATATATTATTATATAGTGTAGTTGTTTTTAGTCAGTTTCTTTTATAAATGTGACATATATTGCTAAGTTCTTTTCAATCCATTTGTTTCATCATTTGTGCCTGGCTCTATGCAATTTGTTCAAGCAACTAGAGGTTCACAAATATCTTTGCATTTATCAAATAAATTATCTACTAAATGTTCACAATTATGTTTATATCTATCAAATTTTGTTGACCAGGGATTTAGAAGAAAAAAAATGAAGAATTTCTTCGGAGGAAAAATCGAATTTTAAAATTAAATATTTTTAATATAAGAGATTACTTTTTTAAGGATAAATAACGTAAATGGTCTTTACTATAACTATTGGTTTATTAAGTATCTCGATTACAACTAATATTTAATTAAGTCTCTCGATTATGGAGTGATGTTTTGTTAAGTCTCTTGACTATTAAAATTTATAAAATTGTCACCCGATTATTCATTATGTTCTAGACTAGTCAAAAACTTGACAGTTGTTTAAGTTGTGTTGTGATAACATGTGTTGACACCCGTTTTCATTTGAAGATCTCGTTAATATTATTATTATTATTATTGTTGTTATTGTTATTGTTATTATTTTGGCAGACATAAACAGTACAACCCAAACCGGGCTCAATCGACTCAAAATTGGGCCCAAACAAGCCCAAAAAGTCCTAAACCTAACCCCAACAAAGCCTCTTCAACTACAGCCGCTGGGTTTGACTATCCAACCACCGATCAAAGCTCGTTTCACCATCACAACCACGCCAATCATCCGCCGTCAAGCCTAGTCAAAACAAATCTGTCAGAGATCTCAATTAAACCCCGAAAAATCCAGGGTATTAAATGGCTCAAAATCATCGAGCATAGTGATGGCAGTAGCTTAGGTTTGATTTTGTAATATTTTAATCTATGTAAAAGATGGGTATAAAACCCAAAATCATTTGTAAAAGAAACCCCTTTTTAGTATTTTTTTCAGAAAGGAAATAAAAACAAGAAAAACTTGAAAGGTAAAATTTTTATCTCGAATATCGTTTTTTCTTCTTTTTTTCATTTTGAATGTAAAAAATATACGCAATTATATTCTTAAACAGAGAGAGAGAGTGGAGAGTTACCTCAGAGAGGGGGGATGAACCAACTCATTTTCGCGGTGATCGGATGTAGGGAGGCCGAAACGTCAAGGTTTTTTTTTTGTGTTTAGGATAAATATTTTATGGTTTTAACCTCAAGTAGGGATCTAGGGTAGTAGATCAAGAAATTTTGGTTATTTTGGGCTAGGTATAGGAGCTCCGACCACTGTGTGTGGTAGCCGGAGCGACAGTTAAGGCGGGAGCGTGGAAGGCCAGAGGGTAGCCCCATCCTAGAGAGAGGGGATAGGGTTGAGAGAAAAAAAGAGTTTGAATCTTTTTTCTGAAATGGGGTTTAAATGGAAAAAAATGAAAAAGTGTTTTATAGAAAACAATTTAGGTAAAATCACTTTTAAGTCCCCATAGGTTTAGCGTATTTTTGCACTTTGGTCACATGCGAGGACCAAAATCGTTATTTACCCTTTATCATGTATGTTATATATTTATTGGAATATTTGATGTTTAGTCTCCCATAATTTAGCGCGTTTTTACACTTTGGTCACATGCGAGGACCAAATATGTTATTTACACTTTTTCCATGCATGTTATAAATTTATTGGAATATTTGGTGTTTAGTCCCTTTTATTTAAGCGTATTTTTGCATTTTGGTCATATGTAGTGATTATTTAATTTTATTTTAATTTTGCTGGACTAATTTAGTATTTTATGCATTTTTAGTTAAAAGAGTATTTTATGCTTGTAAAAAAGGAATAATTATTAACTAGTCCTTACAGTTTAAGCATATGTTTAGATTTTGGTCACTAATCTGTTTTTTCGATTTGATTTAACTTAGTCATCTAATTCTTTTTTTTATTTGGTCCCCATAGCTTATTTATTTATTTATTATAATCTTAGCATGTAATTTCAAATATTTTCATTTTGGTCCGAAATATATGGGTTTATTATATTTTTAGTGTTTGTAATATATGACTTTTGTATTATATTTTATGAAATTTGTTCGACTTGCTGTTATGACACTAAAACTTCCATTTTTATTATTTAATCCTATATTTGTATAATACGCATAATACATGCTTAGAATATTTTCCATGTATAAAATGTATTGGTATCATGAAATATAAATATTTGTGTACTTTGTTACATATAGGTTTAAGATTTAATTTGAATTAATTGCATGAAACCTCATAAGCATTACTTGACTCGAATCGAAATAATTTTACCAAGGGAATATCCGTTATTTTTAGATTAGATGAAGTGATTGTCTTAAAGAATAAGAGGTCGCTTTCAATAATATTAAAATATAATGGTATCCTATCAAGAGAAACAAATAAAATTGATTACATTAAAATTTGGGGACTGAGAAAAAGATCATGTTCTTTAGTTAAATTCATAGAGAAAAGGTTGTTAGATCGAATCTAAGGTCTCGTCTCGATGTATTTAAATAATTGAACATCATTATTCTCATTAAAGGTTGGTAAAAATAATTAATTAATCATATTTGTTTGATGTATGTATTTAACTTTCATTTTATTTTTGTATATGTTTTAATGAATTATTATTGAATTTTAGGATGAAATAGTAAATTTATTTATTTCGATTAGAGTAATAAATGAATGCTTTAAGGTATGAGAGATCATTTATTCTTGATTGGAAATAATTAAATATTACCATTTTCCCTCTTAAAATTCAAAAAACGTGTTTTAAAAAGAAAATCTTAAATTAATTTGTTTTGTTTTATTGTTATTTATGCATTTAAATTTGGAATTAATAATGAACTTTAGGATGAAATTGTAATATTTCTTTATTTCAATTGGAGTAAGAATCGACTGCTTTAAGACATGAGAAGTCAATTCTTCTCGATAGGAAATAATTAAATATTATTGTGCTTCATCCTAATATTCAAAGAATATTATTTGTATGAGATCTTAAATTAAATTAAACTCGAATTCATAAATTTCATTGAAAAGACAACTATTAATCGACTAGGTATCAATTTAGGGCGATGTGGGAGTGCTAAACCTTCTCCAATCGTAACTGACTCCCGAACTCAAATTTTTGGTAACGCAGACTGTATAATTTTTGTTTTAATTAAAATTAAATTTTATTAAAATGATAAAACATTTTGAGTACCCAATCACACCCTAATCAAATATTGGTGGCGACTCCTCAAAGCATGTTTTATTATTAAAAGAAACTACTCCCTCGTGTGGTTTTCACCTCCGTATGAGATAGTAGACCGCTCCTGGAGCTCCTGCCTTATGGCCCTCGTGATGGTTTTCACCTCCGTATGGACAGAAGGAGGTGTGTCCCATCGAATTGAACTCGATCTGAAAGCCTGTGATGGACCAGGATTGAGGGTCAAGGACAATTGGAGAACCATTTACTTTAGAGCCAAACCCAGCATATAGTGAAACTAGAATCCAGGTTGAGCCTAACCCGAACCTTAAGAGTCCTGTAAGGAGAGTACACCAGGAAAAGCTCATTTGAGTCTTTTAATTTTTCTAGTTTAATTTTGTTTTTCGAATAAATGTATGCGAACTAGATATCATGTGGTTAGGTTTATATTTTTAGAATAAGCATCAAACTAGATGGCATGGGGGTAGAAATCATGTTTGGGTAGGATTTGCTAAAGCATGATTGGGTAGTTAACCTGTAAGGGTAAGTTTTATTCAATGCTTATAGTACTTACTATGTTGTTGTTTATCTTATGTGTACTAACCCATTTTTGTTTTGTGCCTATTTTATTTTGATTTTATTTTCTTTCATTTGCATCTTCATGTCATCCAAAGGTGTTAATTCGCAAGTGATTGACTAAGTAAGAAGACTGTTCATAATGAGACAAAAATTATTAGCCATGTACTCAAAACTAGGAGATCCAAAGATGTTCAAACGATCCATGAAGAATGATGTTTGATGAATGAAGAAATTTGAAGTTGGTTGAAGACTTCATTTGAAGACATAAAGGCTAAGATGTTTCCTCAAGAGATAGATGCAATCATACCAAGGACAAGAAAACCCTTCACGAAGACATGAAAACCACTTTATATTGGAAGTAAAAATGGAGATCTCAAGATTCAAACATAAATAATTTAAGAACATACGGTGTCATCAAATGTGAAAAAGTACACCGACAACTTTAGGTGCAATGTTAGATTCAATGAGGAGTATGGCTCAAGAAAATGAAGAAAAGAAGAATCACAATTTTATTTTAACTACCTTGTGTAATGAAACCTTGTTGTCTAAATGAAGATTGTTTTATGATGGTCACATATGGAATTAACACCTTTTGCATTTTCATTTTACATCTATATTTGCATTCGCACTGCTTTAATTTAAACATTTTTTACATGCATCAATCATGAAAATGTAAGAGTAACTCGTGAAGGATATTATTACAGAAGTTCTGAAAGCAAATTGAAGTTACCTGAGGCGTGTCTATAGAAAGATCGAAAATGATGAATAAGATATTAACAAATGTTAGTAGGGTCGAGAGAATCCAGGAACAACTCGTAATGACCTAGTAGAAATGATTAATGAAGCAAGGAAGTTCCAAGTTGAATCCAGAGAATAGATGTCCAAGTTGATTAGTATGGTGGTTACAATGATATATGGGGGGAAATTGTTAGTGGACTATATTATGCAAGAAAATATGAAGACTTTGAGTGAATATCTGAATGTTGGTTGTGTAACCAATGTGATGACAGCAGATGATCAAGAACCTATTAGGGAGTATGGTAATACAAGTTGATCACTTGTGAATGTATATGCTGAGGCAAGCTAATATGTGCAAGTATACACAATCGATGCAAGTCATGTAGTAATAAGTGAGTATCGTCTCCACAGGGATTGGATTAGAAATATCTTTTC